GACCCCTCTCGGCCCCCGGCGGCGAAGTGGCCGCTCACCTCCTTTTGCTGCTGCTAGGGCGCTTTGTTCTGCCCTTGTTTGCAACTGTTTTTTAGCGGTCGTTTCATTGTGACTCTGGGCACAATGAAGAAGAGCTGAAGCTTTATATTCACAAAGTCCACCGAAGTTCGGTCTAGTGTTGCTCATAGGAAAACTGACGTTATACCCAGCAAGTATATGAGAACATTTGTTTCTGATTTTTCGTAATTTTCTTCTCGTCCGTTTATAATTAGTCATAAACCCTGAAGGAGAGCCAGGTGTAGTGGTGCGCCCCTGTAATCCCGGCTACTTGGGAGGGTGAGGCAGACAGAATGTAAATGTGAGGCCAGTTCCAGCTCAAAATAGAGTTAAAAGGACTGGAAATATAGTTCAGCCGTAGAACACTTGTCTGCAGTGCGCAGCTTGTGCATGGTTTAAATCCTCAGCACCACAAAACGCGACAACTTGAAGGAATTTCAAAAGATTGTCAGTGCCTCCCCTAACCACCCACCTTACCCTCATCACAAACCCTGAACGAGTTAAGGAAAATCAGTTACAAAGCTCTTCAAGGATAACGACTCCATACTATCCTGGTGGTATTTTGTTCCACTGTTGATCAGTGTTCCCAACGCGGTCAGTAAATCTTGTTTGTGTCACTTTTCCTTGATGTGCTTATATGCTGATGCCTAGAACTAGGACATGCATGTCAGACTCTTCCTAACTGTAATTAGTAAGTATTTATTGTATATTTGTAGTGTTCGTGAGTCTAGTCAGACAGGACATTGTCTCTAGTCTCCAGGAGTTTTAAGATTTAGTTGGGAATTAAGCATCGATGTATATATTAAGGATAGATGCTTGTAAAGCGTCAAAAACACAGTGTAATATATGTAAAGTTGCAAGTGAATAAGTCCACAATTCCTGTACGGTGAAAAAAATAATTGATACAAAGGAGTTGGCCCTTACTTTTGGGCGTGGTAGCTCCGTAGGACTTAAAGAAAAGGTAAGAGGACAGTGTAGTAGAAGTGCAAGACATAGGATCAGGGAGTAATTGTCAGGTTTTGGAGTAGTTATTGAATTACATAAGACAAGTTCAATGCCAGCTGGAGGAACTTAGATTCTTACCTGAAAAAGTAAAAAATAGGGCTGGGGATGTAGCTCAATGGCAGAGCACTTGCCTAACATGCATGAGGCCCTGGGTTCCATCCCCAACTCCCCAAGCAAGCAGGTGAGCAAACAAAAAACACCTGCTGTTAAGCTATCTGCAAAGATGCAGTTCCAGATGAAACGATAAAGACATTTCCCTTGGTTAAACAAACCAAAACACTGACAGTAGAGATCAAGAAGAGCTTTATATAAATTTCAGCTTCCTCGGCTGGTAAATCTAGTGCTCTCCCCCCACCTCCTTTGAAACATCTATAAAGCCAGACACAGTGGTAAACACCTGTAATCCCAGCACTGAGAAAATTGAAATTGAGGCAGGTGGAGTGCTGGGAATTCTAGACCAGCCTGAACTACAAAGCAAGACCTTGTCTCAAAAAAAAAAAAAAAAAAAAGTCTCAAAAAAAAAAAAAAAATCAATTGTAGATAGAAACAAATTAAACTTCTTTTGTAGCCAGATGGAGGTATTTCTGCTATATTTATGTGTATTTCTGAAAATTTTTGTTTTATGCAAAATGCATGTAAAACATGTTCAAAATAGCAGATCATGCCTGGAGATGTAGCTCAGTGGTAGAATACTTAAGAGGCCCTGTGTGTGATCCCAATGCTGTCTAAATAAATAACAGCAGCTCTAATAGAAGATAGGTTTAGAAGAGGCTTACTTTAAACTATGTAACTCTGTCTAAAAAGGGGAACAACGAGGGCTAAAGGAAAAAGACAATAGAGTTGCATAATTTCAAAGTATGGGGACCTGGGAGGTCAGTGCCTTTGAGCAGGCAACCAAAGACCAACACACTCTGACCTTGCCACTCCTTGTTGGGTTGGTTCATGGGGAATATCAGATGACTCATAGGGCAGTGATAATCCTAAATTCATGAGGATTTTAAAATCTGAGAGAATGTCAGATGTCTCAGAGGAAAGCAATAATCCTGAGTTCATGAGGATTTTATGCTTATGTAATCTTGCCCTTGAGCATCACAACAGAGGCCTCAGTCAGCCCTAATCATAAACTATGTAGGATGCCTCCCAACACCTTACAGTAGGAATTCTACTAAAAATAGTAGCATAGTTAATCTTCACTGGTGTCTCTACCTACAGCGAAAGTCACTTACTTTATACTTGCAGCCTATAATCTGGGGTTCTTAATCTTACCCTTACCTCTGCCAGTGTTTTGGTTTGTTTAACCCAGGGAAATGTCTTTGTAGTTTTCATTTGGACCTGCAACTTGTTTCTAGACAGGGTCTTGCTATATAGCCAGGCTTTCCTTGGATTCACAATGGAGCCTAGGCTGGCCTTGAACTGGAGTCCTCCTGCCCCAGCTTCCCAAATGCTGGAATTACAGGCATGTGCCACCACCATACTGTTTGGACCTGCATCTTTGCAGATAGTTTAACAAGAAGTTTTTTTGTTTGCTTGTGTGCTCCTGGTTCTGAGAATGGTGTGCTGTACTTGGTCAAAACAATGTTTGGTACTTGTTACACCACCTGGAACCAGTTAATGAGGAGGAGTACCAAGTACATTTGGACTTGTTGTTCGGTTTTGTTTTGTTTTGTTTCAGTACTGGGGATTGAACCTTTCTCCAAGCTACATCCTCAGCCCTTTTTTCTTATTTTTTATTTTGAGACAGGGTTTCGCTAAGTTGCTCAGGCTGAGTTTGAATTTGTAATCCTCCTGTCTCAGCCTTCCCGAGATTATTAAATTTTTCTTGTATACATTTCAGGTAAGAAGCATATAGCTTTGTTTCAACAAAGTGACCTATGATGTTAATTTTTAAAAAACTATATTAGTGTGTATCATTGACTGCTTTGTGTTCATCTTTGTCTTTTTTGTTGTTGTTGTTTGTTTGTTTGTGTTTGTTCTGGTACCAAGGATTGAACTCAGGATCTTGTGCTTGCAAAGCAGGTGTGGTGCCACTGAGCTAAGTCCCTAGCCTTCATCTTTGTCTTTCTGCCTTTTCTTGGTGATAATAAGCCTTCTGCACTGGGTTTTTTAAATTATTATAATTGTTCTTTGTTAGACTTTTTAATGCTTTTTCATCTCTTTTTGTTTGTTTGTTTTTGTCCTATTTTGGTTTTGTTGTTTTTTTGTTTTTTTGTTTTTTTTTTGAGATGGGGCCTTGGTATGTACTCCAGGCTGGCCTGGAACTCAGCAATTCTCCTGCCTCCCCAGTGCTTGGCATTACAGGCATGCACCACCATGCATGTACACCATAGCAAGACCCTATCTAAAACAAAAACAAAGAACAGTCTTAAATTACCAAAGAGAAAAAAAATTCAGTATCCAGTTATAGAAATTTAAATTTTTATGTTAAAAGGGCTATAAAAATCCTTTGTCACTTTAAGAAAAATGATACATTGTTCACAGGACATTTAAATTCACCTAATACTTGGAAAAAATGAAAACTAGAAGAAATGTTTCTAAGATTATATTTGCTAATTTTTTCAAGGTGGTGGGGATTGAACGTAGGGCTATGTCACTCGTGCCTGACCAGTGAGCTACCCTTTAGCCTAAGATTACATTCTTGATAACATATGTGAGTTAATTTTCAGCTTGTTGACATAAATGAAAAGCAAAATTAATGCTTTTTCTTGTTTGATATCAGGCCTGACAGTGTTTAAGGATTAGACAGGAAAATATAGAGACTGTTTTAGATATAGCAAATAACATTTGCATGAGAAGTTGGGTAAACTGTTTAGTTGGTAAGACGGAAATGGGAACTTTTTGTTTACTTTTGCAGTACCAGGGATCAAACTCAGGGTGCTCTACAACTGAGCTATATCCCCAGCCCTTTTTAAATGTTTATTATTTGAGATAGGGTCTTGCTAAGTTGCACACACAGGAGTTGAACTTGCAGTCTTCCTGCCTCAGGTTCCCTAAGAGGCATGTTCTAATCAAATTTGTATCATTTTATTTTAGGAACCCGGAAATCGAACTTGGGACTTTGCACTTGTGAGGCGGGTGGCAAAACCACTGAGCTAAATCCCCAACCCTGTATCATTATTTTAAATATGATAATAGCAGACATAACAATGTCAGGTAGATTTTTCTTTGAGTTGGCAGAGTCTGGGCTTCAGTTAAAACTAATAATAGCAGTAGTATTTTTTAAAGAAAAAAATGTACCAGTGCATATTTAAGTAAAATACATGTTTCAAGAACTGTATGTATGGCAGTAATGCAAATTAATATGGCAGCTAGGGAGTATATTTCCACACAGAATTGGGGTTATAGTGCATTAACAAGAGTGTTACTGAGCTGGGGATTTAGCTCAATGGTGCCACCACCTGCCTCGCAAGGGCAAGGTCCCTAGTTTGATCCCTGGTACCAAACAAACAAACAAAAAAAGAGTGTTACTGAAGCCCTGTTTGGACATTTGTAAGAAACCATGGAAAATCCTCAATATTGATGTGGGTTTTTTTTTTGGTATTTATTTTGATCATTGATAGTTCTCTCAAATTATTTTCATTTATGCCGCATGGGCAAGAAACAATCCCCATGCAAAATCAAGATGTAGTACAAATTGTCTACAGAGGGTTTAGGCCCTTTCTAACAAAATAAAATATGGGAATAGCAGAAGCATTATTTTACAAAGTATCTGAAATACGGTTCAAACATAAATGGGGGTGGGGGTGGTATTGGTGATGGATAATATATGGCTTATTTAAAAATTTCAAAATCTGTGTAAAAGAACCCATATGCTGAATGCACATTTAGAAGTTACATATATTATCCATCAGTTTACATTTCTATTATCAATCCATTAGGTCCATAGCTTATGTATTACTCCCATAGGCATATTCTTTGGGTTTAAAAGGATAATACATAATGTTTTACTTTTAAATTTGTTGATTCAATATCTAAAATCTTAATTTTTTTTTTTTTTTTTTGGTACCAGGGATCAAATTTGGGGCCTTGTGCTTGTGAGGCAGGTGGCGGCACCACTGAGCTAAATCCCCGGCCCTCTAAAATCTTAATTTAAAAATCCTTTGTGTTTTTTTCCTGCCTTAATGAAATTTATCGCTGATTAGGTTTAGGTTGCTTGTTGGAAGAAATTTTGGTTTTTTCAGAAGAATTATAACTTGATTAACAAAAGAAATCTCACTTTGACCCTAGTGTAAATATGTTACTAAACTTATACCACAGGAATATTTTAGCTCAAGATTATTAGACATATAGAATCTGAATGCAAGAGGCTTTTGTAATCACCTGTGCAGTCCTGTTCGATGCAAGTATTTTGTTTATCCTATCTTAGTATACTAAACAGTAATTGTCACATTTCGTACATATTTTTAGCTTTGGTCAGTTCATCTTATCCAGATTTTCAAAGTGCTTCCAAGACTTTCTATGCACACAGCGCCTCCTTGATAAAACAGGAAATTTAGTTTAGCTTTTGCAAGTTGCAATCTGAGATATAACAATATAAAGAAACCGTAAGCAAGGTGAAGAAAATTCTTTCAAGTATCTAACATTGCTGGCTGCTGTGGAATATTGAAATCTGTTTTCTAAATAGGGTGTAATTTTTTTTTTTATAAAATGTAACTATTCTAGAAAGTGTTAGTGCAGTTCAGGTCCATTTTCTTTGGAACCTCTAAATAATTTTACTAAGTTCAGTTTCATTCAAGTGGAAATTCATAAGTAACCAAAATATTTCTAGATGTAAAACTCATGGCCCACTTGTATATAATTTATTTAACAGAATTCCAGTCCGAGGTCCTAGGAGTGTAGACTAAAGTAATATTTTGTCCTAATTTGAGTTTCTTAAATCTTAAGTTTATGATGATTACCTACTTTGTGAGGTATTAGAATAGATGATAAAAATAACACAGGAATGGGGCAAGGGCTGTGGCTCAGTGATACAGCACTTGCCTAGCATATGCAAGGGCCCTGGGTTCAATCTCTAGTTATCAAAGAAATTTTAAAAACCCGGGAAATATTGTTTGTTGACTACACCTTCAGCAAATTTACCAAAGTATTTTAAGGTTTTCATATTTATGAATATTAAAGGTACAGTGTTGTATCCATTACTGTCTTTTTTCTTTCATTCTGTTTTGAGGCAATCTTGGTTATACAGTCCATTCTGACATTTGACTTTTTTTTTTGAGTCAGGGTCTCATTATGTAGTCTAGGCTGGCCTTTAATTTACAGAGATCCTTGTCTCTCAGCCTCTCAAGTGCTGGGATCACAGGTGTGTGCCACCACTCTCGTCCAGCCCTACAACTTTAGAGCCTTAGCCTCTCAACTGCTAGGCTTTGGTCACCATACTTACCCCCACGCTATTAATTTTTTTTTTGAGGCAGGATCTCCCTTTGTAGTTCAGACTGGTCCTGATCTTACTGTATATCCCAGGCTGGCCTCAAACTCTCTGCGATCCTCTTGCCTCAGCCTCCTGAGTGCTGGGATTACAGGTGTGCACCACCACACCCGGCTTATGCTATCAATTTTGTATTGTTTTTGATGGCTAGTGACCTGGATTCATTAAAGTTCATACTCCATGCCTGAAAATGATATTCTGTTGCCAGTTTATGTTGAAAATATTTCTTGCTTTCATTAAGATGTAGGTTGATGATACTACTTTGAGAGAAGGTAGGTGATGGAGACATGCAAATCCACTGTGTTAACTTACTTCCTTTGAAGAACAGCAAGGACAGAATTAGGGAAGTACTTCTTATACAACAAAGAAAAGGTAGACAGTTCCCAGGAAATCCAGGATTATTTTGGCAAAGTAGCAAACACTTGAGTGTGGTGGAGAGGTAATCTAGTGCCACAGCTGGTCAGAGCCTTTCCCAGAGGAAATGAAAGGTCTGTGTGCTGAGAATGCTAGAGAATTCCACTCCTGACAAATGTACAGACTGACAATAATTGGTGTTTTTCATGTTTACTTCTCTTCACTCTTAGATCTACGGAATCCAGAGGCAGCATTGTCTCCAACTTTCCGTAGTGATAGTCCAGTGCCTCCTGCACCCACTTCCGGTGGCCCTAAGTCCAGCACAGCTTCCGTAGTTCCTGAATTAGCTACAGACCCCGAGTTAGAAAAGAAGTTGCTACACCACCTCTCGGATCTGACCTTAACATTGCCCACGGATGCTGTATCCATCTGTCTTGCCATCTCCACGGTAATGGCCTGATAGAATTGGGAGCTACCACTTAAGTTCTATGCGTGGTCAGTGCATTATTGCCCTCTTCTCCCTCCCTTCTCTAGCCAGATGCTCCTGCCACTCAGGAAGGGGTGGAAAGCCTTCTACAGAAGTTTGCAGCTCAGGAGTTGATCGAGGTAAAACGGGGGCTCCTACAAGATGATGCACATCCCACTCTTGTGACCTATGCCGACCATTCTAAGCTCTCTGCCATGATGGGTGCTGTGGCGGAAAAGAAAGGCCCTGGGGAGGTAGCAGGGACTGTCACAGGGCAGAAACGACGAGCAGAACAGGATTCAGCTACAGTAGCTGCCTTTGCCAGCTCTCTAGCCTCTGGTCTGGCCTCTTCAGCATCAGAACCAGCCAAGGAGCCAGCCAAGAAATCAAGGAAACACGCTGCCTCAGATGTTGATCTGGAGATAGAAAGCCTTTTGAACCAACAGTCTACAAAGGAACAACAGAGCAAGAAGGTATGGGCCATAAAAATACTCTGAATGTGGTCTGTATTGTAGCATTGCTTGTGAGGGATTTACCCTTGGGGCAAAGAGCAGTTCTTACAATTGATGGTTTAGAGCAGTGGTTGTTAACTGAGCATGATTTTGCCCCACACTTAGGTTCAAGCAAAGACATCTGGCAATGTCTGGAGACATTTTTGTTGTCGTGTCATGGGAGAGTGCTACTGGTAACTTGTAGGTAAACACGTTATCCTGCATAAGATAGCTCCCCATAACAAAGAACTGTCTGGTCCAAAGTGTCAGTAATTCCAAGAAACCCTGGTATATAGAATTTGGTCATCGAATCCGTTTGGAATGATCCTCAGATCAAGAGAAGAGGAGTGTAGGGAGAGGAGTACTGGATGATAGTCATTTGAACCAAAAAATAGGAAAATTGATAATTAAACAGTACATACACACAGTATAGTGGTTCTAAGTATTAGAATGACTTCTCATTTGTTTACTGTTTCTAGTTTTGTGAGTTTGAACAAGTTGTCTTAGTCCTCTCATCTGTAACATGAAGAAAGCAGAGAGTATCCTCCCGTACAGATCTATTGAATAGGTTCTGAGCTAAAGTATTAGCATGTGCCTTGCGTTAGTACCCAATAAACAGAAGTGGGTTTGTTTTATGTTTTTTTTGGATGGTGGGATAGGTTAATGCTTAGCAGTAGGAACAAAGCTTCTTGTAGTTTAATTCTGTCCAACATGCAGATGATTTCTTTTTCTTTCTTTTTTTTTTTTTGGTGCAAGTGACTGAACTCAGGATTTTGAGCTTATGAGGCAGTTGGCGGCACCACTGAGCTAAATCCCTGGCCCTAGATGCAGACTTTTGAGCAAGGCCTAAATGTTTGACAGATTTCTTATCCTGAGGCACCACTGTTCCCATATTAATTTAACTCATTTATTCCCTTATAAGACATTAGTATTGAATAGGATTTGCAGAAGTGGTTTAAGAGCTGTCTTGATCTACAAACCCTTTTAAGAACAAGGCTGCTTCTGTCACAGGTCAGTCAGGAGATCCTAGAACTATTAAATACTACAACAGCCAAGGAACAATCCATTGTTGAAAAGTTTCGCTCACGAGGTCGGGCCCAAGTGCAAGAATTTTGTGACTATGGGACCAAGGAGGAGTGCATGAAAGCCAGTGATGCTGATCGACCTTGTCGCAAGCTGCACTTCAGGTCTCTGGGGAGGAGTGAGGTGGGATGGGTTTCCCAGAAGCAGTCATTCCTTGTCACCATTTTCCTTCCAGTCACTGATGCTCTGTCTGTAAAACTGTCATTTAGTTTATTACTGTTTAAGTTCTCCAGACTCTGAAAGTAATCTTTCAGAGATGGCATCATGTGGGAAGAAATAGAAGCTACACTGCCCACTGTATCAGATTCCCTTAAGTGCCCCCTTCTAGCAAGGTATCTCTTTGATCCATAGAAATTCTCCGGAAGAAGGATGGCCCTAGGAGAAACAGGAACTAGGACTCTTGGAACAGTGTATGATTTTCTAACTGGCCAAGTGCTTTTTGAACTGTGTTCATAATAAAAGGAAGTAAAGTCTTTACTCTTTAATGTGAATTATGGATTTCCATGTCACTTCTCTTAAAATTCTCGGAGGAAGTGCTAAAAACGGAAAATTCAGGGAGGGTCAAAAAAGAGGAAAACAAAAAACTATTTGGAACTTGAACTGTAGATCTGCATATGGAATGCCATCTTGATAGTGATTCCTTTTTATTTTCTCAGACGTATTATCAACAAACACACTGATGAATCTTTAGGTGACTGCTCTTTCCTTAACACATGTTTCCACATGGATACCTGCAAATATGTTCACTATGAAATTGATGCTTGCATGGATTCTGAGGGTCCTGGCAGCAAGGATCATACACCAAGCCAGGAGCTTGCGCTCACACAGAGTGTTGGTGGTGACTCCAGTGCGGATCGACTCTTCCCACCTCAGGTACTGTCTGCTAAGAAAATTCATCTCGATTTACACACTTATGTCTGAGTAGGACAGCCATGCATGTAGGAAAGCAGGGAATTATTCAGCAGTCTGTCTCGCTGACGGCTGGAGTGGGATAGATGTACTTACAAGGGAGTAAGAAAATCAGATGGAAGAGAGGGACGTGGGGCCATGAATCTGAGAGAGAGGGAACGGAAAATGACCAAATACCACCTCATGCAGTGGATCTGTTGTGATATCCGCTACCTGGACGTCAGCATCTTGGGCAAGTTTGCAGTTGTGATGGCTGACCCACCCTGGGATATTCATATGGAGCTGCCCTATGGGACCCTGACAGATGATGAGATGCGCAGGCTCAACATACCAGTTCTACAGGATGATGGCTTTCTCTTCCTCTGGGTCACAGGCAGGTAATACAGTTAAAGATACGTAGGGATGGGCCCATATAGTACATAGTGAGTACTGGGTGGGAGATAAAAAACCCTAGGTTGTCCTACACTTTGGACCTTGCTATTAAAATGGCTGATGTAGAATTTTTTTCCCTTCTTATATAGCCTTAATGATTCTAACACAAATTATATTTAATTTTACATTTGCTCCTTGAGAAAGGTAAGGTCATTGAGAAGAGATACTATATTTTGTGTTTTCCCCCCAGTACTGGGGATTGATCTCAAGAGACTACGTGCTAGACCAGCACTCTTGTACTAAGCTATATTGCCAGCTTTTTAAAAAATTTTGAGGTGGGGTCTTGCTAAGTGCCCAGGTTGGTCTTGAACTTGTGATCCTCTGCCTCAGCCTTCCAAAGAGCCACCTGAAAAGTTATGTACCACTGTATCTATTTTATCTTTTTATTCTTAGATCCATCCCATTGCTCTAGTGGTATCATATATAAATGTTTACTGAACACCTACTGGGAGAAAAAAAAGGTTTCTAATGTTTACATCATGTATTTTGAAGGGAAAAGGACAAAATGGATATACAAGTTGTTTAACCCTTCTTTCTTTCTAGGGCCATGGAGTTGGGGAGAGAATGTCTGAATCTCTGGGGGTAAGTGGCAGTTGTGCTGCTTTGAGCAAAAGTATGCATTGTTAAGAGTCATGACAAATGACATTCCCTTCTCCCAGGGTATTCGGGTGATTCCTTGTCTCTGTACTACCCCTGAACTATGAAAGTATGGTTAAAGCTGTAGTTCTCTTTTGCTTCTACAGTTATGAGCGTGTAGATGAAATTATCTGGGTGAAGACAAATCAGCTGCAACGCATCATTCGAACAGGTCGTACTGGCCACTGGTTGAACCACGGGAAGGAACACTGCTTGGTGAGCAGCCAGCCATAGGATCTAATTCTGTGATAAGAATTGTTTTCCTTTTTTAATAAAAATTCAGAAGTTGTGGTTTCATAAGGTAATTCTTTTCTCTGTGGTGAGCAGGTTGGTGTCAAAGGAAATCCTCAAGGCTTCAACCAGGGTCTGGATTGTGACGTGATTGTAGCTGAGGTAGGTTTCCTGAGTCACCCAGACTATTCCTATTTTCGTTATCCATTATTTGTCAGGTGTATTCCCATTCCAGGTTTTTCTCATTTGGATTATAAACATACTAGAGCTAGAACTGCACTTTTGGCTAACTTAAAAACTAGCTAGAGTCTATTTTCTAGGTTCGCTCCACCAGTCATAAACCAGATGAAATCTATGGCATGATTGAAAGACTGTCCCCTGGCACTCGCAAGATTGAGTTATTTGGACGACCACACAATGTGCAACCCAACTGGTAGGTGACTGGAGAACAGGCTAGGCCAGAGGTGGCAAACCTATGGCACGTGTGCCACAGCAGGCTGTTTATCATTGAAAGCTCTAGGTGTGCCATTGTTGGGCTCAAGTGATACTCGAGGAGAAATTGGTGTGACTTTCACCTTGCATTCTGCTAGTCTATAAATGGACTGAAGAGGATTTAAGTGGCTTAAGCTTGCATTTCAACTGTTTTGTGTGATTGTACTACATTCACTGGAAGCCTCACAGGTCTCAGGACTCAAAGCACTATTCACAAAGCTCTTCGCTGTTTTCTTGGAGACAGAATTTTTTGAGACAGTACCCCAGGCTGGCCTCAGCAGTCCTGAATCATCTCCTAAGTGCTGGGATTGCCTGCAGGGGTCTGTAGTCTTACAGCCTAAGGATCTTCCTCAGCCCTTCTATGGAATGTATTGGATCTGCCCCCTGTGGTTCCATCCCTTTAAAAGACATGCTACCATTTTACTTAGGAGAGAAAACTCACTTCCAGCACCAACTGTCTGAAATAGCTCTGGTTAGACACCAGTTACTAACCTTTTGCTTATACAGATCCAGCTTTTTTGTTGTTATTGCAACCTCAGGATTGAACCCAGGGCTTTGTGCATGGTAGGCAAGTGCTCTACAAGGGCTACATCCTGAAGAAGGGTCTCACTAAGTTGTGGAGGCTGATCCTAAACTTGGGACCCTCGGTGTTTCAGCCTACTTCTGAATAGCTGGGATTACAGGCATGCAACACCATGTCCAGCTGCAAACTTGTTTTAGCATCAGCATCTGCCAACTCTTTTTGGAGACTGGGTCTCACTGTAGTTCAGGCTGGACTTGTACTTGTGGCAATTCTGAGTTTCCTTAGTACTGCTATTACCAGCATATGTAGTGACACCTGACTCGGCCTCTGTGCCAGTCTTAACCAGTGATACTGTTACTGTGTTGTAAAAAAAATTTATGTTTAACATAAGGCAGTCTTAAAAGGTATACATCTTTTAACAGTAGTAAGCCCTTTAATTCCAGGATTTCCCCCTTGTTTCAGGATCACCCTTGGAAACCAACTCGATGGCATCCACCTATTAGATCCAGATGTTGTTGCACGGTTCAAGCAAAGATACCCAGATGGAATCATCTCTAAACCTAAGAATTTATAGAAACACTTCCTCACAGAGCTAAGGCTCTGCCAGCTATATACAACTGAAGTTAGTATTTGTACAATAACTTTTATTTAAATAAACATTTGTATTGTAATTGGGATTTTGAGGTGAAATCTTGGATCTGCCCCTTTATAGTGTGTGTTCTTATGCAACTCTGGGAATACTCATTAGGTCTTGTGAGCATTCAAAATGAATGAGTGCGTGGAAAGCAGTGAATCCTGATCATTACCAAATAGGACTACTATAGGATCAAAATGATTAGCAATTAATAACATGAATACAACTGATTAAAAAGGGAGTTCTCTAAGGACAGCATTTCTCAAGGTAGGAGTTCTGAGTTTCATTTAAGATTATCCCCACTAGGGCTGTCACACTCTAAAATTGCTTGTTCGGTTATTATGTGGCTTTGCTATTTATTATTCTGTAGTTTGTTTCCAAGAAAAATCAAGCTCAGGTTAAGTGCCTAGAAGTAGAGAATTTGCCTTTGTAAGTAAAAGCACCTTTGGTCTGGCATTTAAAAGATATTTCATCAAACAATACAAATTGTTTAGACTTTAGTGAAGCTTTTTATATTAAGGGTATTCAGTTCTACCTTTTATAAAACTTTTGATAACAAAAATCAGATGAGAATGCTGACTGCAGAAATAATTATTTATAAGAACTACAACCTCCTGGGTAATGTTCTTTTCTTTACAATTCCATATACCTGTGTTAAAAACCACTGTTTCAAGCAAAGCAAAAAAAAAAAAAAAAAAAAAAAAAAAAATTTTTTTTTCCCCCCCAGAGCCAGGTCTCATGTAGTTCGGGCTAGTGTTGAATTTGTGGTTATCTTACTGCCTGAACCTCCCCTCCTCCCTAGTACAGCAATTAGGCATGTGCCATCATGCTCAGCAATGTATTTATTGTTCCTTGGTTTGGGTTTTTTTTTTTTTTTGGCACCAGGTATTCAACTCAGGACCTTGTGCTTGCGAGGGAGGCACAGTGCCACTGAGCTAAATTCCTAGCCCTTGGTTGTTTTTGTAGACAGGGTCTTGCTGTGTTGCTCAGGCTGGCCTCAAACTTGGGATTTTCCTGCCTTAGCATCCTAAGTGCTAGGATTGTAGGTGTATACCACCATACCCAGCCATATGTAAATATTGTGTGTGTGTGTGTATGTTACTGAACCCAGGGACCTTCGCTGAGATACATCCCCAGCCCAGTTTTTGAATTTTTTGAGACAAGGTCTTGGTAAGTCACCAAGTTGCTCAGGCTGGGCTCAAACTTGGTGATAATCCTGCCTCAGCTTCCCACAGTTGTAGGGCTTCAGGCCTGTGCTAACACACCTAGCTGTAGTTCCCTGTCTTAAGGTGGTACCTTTGATGGGACCCGGGACCCCTTTTATCCCTTTTTTGTGCTGAGGATTGAACTCAAGGACTTTTATACCACTGTACTGTATACCCTAACCCTTACTTCTTTTAAACTGGATGCACACAGTGGCATTTTCTCCTTGGCTCAAAGCTGAGTCTTCCCCCATCAGTTTAATATTTTAGACAAGTCCTATGACAATTATACCAAGTTTTCCCAAACAACCCCACCACCCCTACCCTATGATTTGCTTTTTTATACTCCCTTCACCTTTTCCTCTGCTACTATCCTGGTATTTCTGCACGCAGTTGAAAATAAAAAGCATTGCAGATTATAGTAAACTCAGTGGCCCTGCTCCATAGCCTTGCTTCTGAAAGGGTAGGTAGGGGGCATGAAGGACCATGGTGAGTCGAGATCAGGCACTACCAGAAGCCCAGCTTGTGTTACAAAAACAGGCTCTTGGGCTTCTTCCCGGCAGATAACTCTTCATTGGCTTGGAGATCAGGAAAGACTATTTCACAAATACAACGGTGTTTGAATTTCTGGAGGCCACCCAGGCTAAAAATACATCCCTAAGAGAGAAAAAGACACAAATTTAAAATTTCAGCCTAGATACACCTTTTTTTAGACTTTGTCTTTTTTTTTTTCCTGGTATTGGGAATTGAACTCAGAACCTTGCACTTGCCAGGCAGGCATGACACCATTGAACTATATCCCTGGCCCTTAGATACATTCTTTTTAACTGTCTCAAACAAGTTCCCATATTTCTTTCAACATCAAGGTACGACAATACAACAGTATCACCTGAGGAGTATAAAAGCAACGGACCTAAAAGAATTAAAGGCAAGGGGGCTGAGGATTTGGCTCAGTGGTGCCACCACCTGCCTCACAAGTGCAGGTACCCTGGTATCCCCCAAAAATAAAAAGTAAAGGCAATGCTAATCTACTGTAGGAGATTTGAAACAGGATACATAAATATACCTAGTTTCATGGATACAAACAATTTTTTCTTCTTCCTCAGTTCTGGGGATTGAACTCTGGTCCTTGTGCTTGCGAGGCAGGCAGCAGAGCCACTGAGCTAAATCCTCAGCCCAAATCGTTTAACAATTTCTCAATCCTTTCACATTTAGCTCTACTGTGCGCTGCTCTTTTTTTGTACTGGAGATTGAACTTGGGACCTAGAGCCTGCGAGGCAAGTGATGGCACCGAGCTAAATCCCCAACCTGTTTTACTGTGCTTCTTTTCACTTATGCCCACCCCCACTTCTGATTCCCTAAGGCCTGAAAGGCTAACATTCAGTCAGCAATAGCTTGAAAGCTTAAAAGTATCTTTCTTTTGGTCATCATTCTGGAGTCTAAGGACATCATGTACACTAAGCAAATGCTCTAGTGCTCAGCTGCATTCTCAGCCCCAAATGTAAGGTTTTGTTTGAGAGTCTGTCTTTGTAATTCAGGATGTAATTCGAACTCTTAGCAATCCTGCCTCAGCCTCCTGAGTGCTGAGATTATAGGTGTGTATACCATACCTGGCCTGCTCCAATGAGACAATACATACAGCAACTCACTCTAAGGTAAGATAATACTGATTATATGCTGAAGGCTACTACATTTTTCAGCATAGTTAATTTAACAACAGCTAAATTACAGCTTACCTGCAGTGCTTCACCACACACTCATTGCTGCAGTATTCATTGTCCCAGTCCTTACTCACGACAGGAGGGTTCTCACAACCAGATCTCACGCATCGAGGCTGGGGTGAGAGCACCACTGGAGATGCACTCACCAACTCGACGTCCATCTGAGAAGGAGATTCAACCTGAGAGGAAAAGCAACAAAGATGGATTAGATTGCTGCCTCCCTAGCTACCCCCGTCAGTCGAATTACCCTTGTGATCCAATTAGACGAGATGTTACAATTCCTCACATAGGGGTAAAGTTGCAACTGAAAAAGTTCTCGGTCTCTATTCAATTTTGGAATTCTGCCGAGCAGAATGATGTGAAGTCATTCCAGACAGGAAGTTAGGGCATACACTAGTGCTATTAAAAAAAAAAAAAATTGGGGGCTGGGGATTTAGCTCAGTGGTTCCCTTGCCTGCCTTGCAGGTGCAAGGTTCCGAGCTCGATCCCTGGTACCAAAAAAAATTTTGGTACCGGGGATCGAACTCGGGTCCTTGCGCTTGCCAGACAGGTGCTTTGCCACTGAGCTAAATCCCTGGCTAGTGCTATTAAATTTTAATCTACACTGACTTTGTCCACTGAAATATCCCTCTGAAAGGAGATGGGGGGTACTAAGAGGAAGAAAAGGCACTGTGACAAAAAGAAAAAACTTGCAGATTCACAGACAAAAATTTTCTGTTGATAAGAGTTTCAGATCTGCCATTCTTTTTCAGTGGTGCTAGTAATCAAACCCAGGGCCTCACATACGCTAGGCAAGTAAATGCTCTTCCACGAAACTGCATTCCCCAGCTAAGACTCATCTTTTAAAGTGATTACTGGTCAAGTACGTTTTCTAAAACATGGGCAAGATGCAGTTGTCTCATGTCTTAAAAGACTTAGTGATACAGACCAATTGAATTTTCTGGTTATATCTGCCTCCCCACACTTTTGAAGCATCAAACTAAGCAATAAACACCTTATAGAGATTGAAGGATTTAATACTGACAAAGTTTAGAATCCTTGGGTAGCCACCTCTGCAAAATAACACTGTAGGCTATTTCCTCTCTAGTCAAACCACAGTGATGATGCCTTTGCTCACTTAAGTGGTCTGGCTGGGCATGGTAGCACACACCTAAAATCCAGCACTGGGGAGGCTGAGGCGGGAGAGTCACTGTGAGTTTGAGGCCAGCCCTTGCTATACAAAGTGAAACTGTCTCAAAAACAAAACAAGAGTCTGAACCCCAGCTTGGTGCCACATGCCTATAATCCCAGCAGGCTGAGACACAAGCAACATAAATTCAAGCCCAGTCTGTGTAACTTAGCAAGGCCTGTCTCAAAAAATGAAAAGGCCGGGGATGTAGCTCAGGTGAGGACCCTCAGTTCAATTACTTAAAATAGAAGGTCTGGGACAAGAAGTCCTCTTAATGTTTCTTACCAAAAGTACTATGGGCAGAGGTGATAAAAGTCACTGTGGAAAGGAACTGTTGCTACTATGGGCTCCACACTGGTTGCCAGGTATTAAATAGTAGCACCACGCCCCACACCCCTTTTGTAAAAATGCTTACACATTCCCACTGGTCCAAAGGAAACAAAAACAAGGCTCACCTCAGGAACAACATCTGTGATCATCTCACAGATCGTTTCAGGAGAGGTTGCCTCCACTGTATGGGCCTCAGGACTTCTATTGACAGGTTGCTCAGGACTGCTCTCCACAGTAGGTGGGACTATAGTAGTCTGCATTTTCAGCGTGGGTGGAGGCACAATCTTACTTTGCAGAGGGGGCGGCTGTTGCTGTAAATTGATTCTAACTTTCTGAGGTGGGGGCTGTTGCATGGCCTGAAGTGGAGGCGGCTGCTGCAGAATGGTAACTTGCTGCTGAGTTGGGGGCTGAGGCATCTGTTGCAGTGGAGGAGGCTGTAGTCGGGGTGGAGGCAGTTGCATAGAAGCAGCAGCTGCTGCTGCCGCCTGCAACACTGACCGAGTGACAATCTGGGCCTGCTGGCTGGGCTGGATAGTAGCTGTGCTGGTTTGGCCTAGCTGGAGCCCCCGGGAGGTCACCACTGTGGCTGGGATAACAGTAACCATCCCTCCCTGAGACATGGTAATAGAAGAGGGCAACATCTGTTTGGTAATAATTAGCTTGGTGATGTTAGGCTGACCACCAGCCCCAGAAGATGCTTGATTTGCCACATAGGATGAAAGAGTAGAATTAACAACAATGCAAGGGGATAGGGCAGGTGACTCTGTTGAGGCTGGTGCTGGAGATGCTGGGTCTACAGTAGCCACAGGAGGTGGTGAAGGAGTCTGGGCTGGTGGCACTGGATCCAATTCCACTGTTTCCACAGTAGCCTAAAAGATGACCAAAAAAAGTCATTGAGAGTTTTTTTTACTCTTCACTGCAGGACATATTCATTCCAATGGCCGCTTAATAAAAGATACATTATAGATTGAAAACAAAAGTAGCTAAGAATATTGCCTTTGATAAACACTGGATGGAAATGATGAATAAATTCAAAGACAAGTGAAGTTTATATGCTGTGCAATAAAGAAAAGCTATTTCATTGGCTGGGTGTGGTGGCGCACGCCTATACTCCCAGCACCCAGGAGACTGAGGCAGGAGGATCACTGTGAGTTCGAGACCAGCCTGGGCTACATAGTGAGTTCCATGTCAGTCTCAACTACAGTGAGACCCTGTCTCAAAAACAAAAAAACAAAAAATCCAACAAAAAAAAGAAAAAGAAAAGAAAAGCTATTTAAATATTTTTAAACTTTTAATACTTAGTGTTAATAGGTTCAACAGGTTTTCAAAGATTTTACTTCTCACAGCTGCTAACGGTTTTCAAAAAACAGACTAGTTTAAATATCCATCTACCCTAACCTTCTTACCTGACACTCTTGGTTGTCTTTATAAGCAGCTAGAGCCTTCAGATACTCTTTCTTGGCAGCTTCAGTTTTCCTCTTATACACCTATAAGAAAGAAAGATATTTTGTGTGGGGGGGGGTTTTTTTGGTTTTTTTTTTGAGACAGGGTCTCACTACGTAGTTGAGACTGACTTGGAACTCACTATGTAGCCCAGGCTGGTCTCGATCTTACAGGGATCCTCCTGCCTCAACCTCCAGTGCTGGGATTATAGGCATGTACCATCACGCCCAGCAAAGAAAGATTGTTTAAAAGTCCCTATACTCCTAAAAAAAAAAATTAGATAATTCCATATTATTCCTCAATTCATCTCAATTTAATCGCTGACAACTTTGAGAGAAAACACTTGATTGAACAATCAAGCCAGCTTCCCTGGCAGCATCCCTTTGAAAGCCAAGCAATCTACACTTCAATGTGTGCTCAATTCCATAACAAAGATAAATCCTGACCCCATACTGTGTAAAATCAGTGGTCCTCTTAGCCTATGACTGCGCCTATCCAGCATACTGTACCTTAAACAATGTGGTAAATTGTTTACAAGAACAGCTACAAGAATTTCTGTCCTACAAGTCCCTTCTCCCATCAAAAGCTGAAGCCTACTTGCTCTTTGAATCTGGGCTTTGTGACTTGTTTGATCATAAGAATGTGCTGAAATAACACTGCAACTTAAGCGGTCCACAGGCATCTATTGCGGGTTACTGGAATGCCGGCCATGTTGTAAATAAGCCAGTCTAGCCTACTTGGGGATGAGAGGCCACAAGAAGAAACAATAAATCCTAGCTTACAGGTAACATCAACTGCTAGACATGTAAAGATCACCTGATTATAGCCACAGCAATGAGGCCAGGCAAGAATCGCAGGAAAATACATGGAATCATAAGAAATAATAAACTGCCATTTTAAAAAAACATTTGGCACCAGAGATAGAACTCAGGACCTTGTGCTTGCAAGGCAGGGGCTGCACCACTGAGCTAAATCCCCAGCCCTAAACTGCCATTGTTTTAAGTGATTAAGTTTGTGATGGCTTGTTTTGCAGCAAGAGATAACCAATACAAGTTATTTGTAATAAATTTAGCTTTTTATTTCAAATATTAAGACCCAGCAACTGAGGGTAACCATAATCTTGAATGACAATTTTATCTTCTATTTGTACAGTACCAATTTGCTTTTTTAAAAGAGATAAGCCCTTCCTATATTGGGCAGGCTAGCCCCAAATTTTTGGGCTCACAGGATCCTCCAAGCTTAGCTTCTTACGTAGGCAGAACCATAGGCAAACGTATTTCATTTATTTTTTAAATTGATGATTAAATTTAGAGAGATTATGTAGTTTTCAACTTTATACTAGGCCAATGATAAAACTAAATGAAATTCTAAATCCAAACTTTTATAGTTAACATCAACATGCAGCTTTCTGAGGAATAGTCCAATTTTACAAACAGAGAAATAATGAGACTTAGAAAAGGTACATAACTAAACATCAAACAGTTAAAAGCACACAAGGAATTGTAAGAGATGCCTTAGGGGAGAGCATGTGGGATTTGGAGTATAGAACCTTGTATTCTGTCTGAACTGTACCTCTGAAAAGCAGTATGACTGTAACTGGATAGTGGACTCCAGTTTACACCTTCAGTAAAGAGGAAGTGGTGGTGATTTTACAGAGTTTTGAAAGGATGAAGTTTTTGGCTGTAAATACTGAGAATTAAACTCAGTACTTAAACCAGGGCCTCTTTACACTAACTACATCCCCTGTCTTATTTTTTATTTTTTGAGACAGGGTCTGTAAGTTGCTACATTGCCCAGGCTGGGCTCAAACTTGTCTGTCTTCCAGCCTCAGCCTCTCAGTACTAAGATTACAAGCCAGCAAAGATGCAGTATTCTTATGATTATTGCAAATTCTTAAATAATTTTTTGATAAGGTCTCACTGTTGTTCAGGCTGGCCCTGAGCCCAACTACATAGCTCAGGCTGTTCTCGAACTCGCAGTGACCCTACTGCTTCAGTGCCGAGTACTGGGATTACAGGTGTATGCATGCACCAGCACACATGGCTATTGCTAATTTTTAAGTAAGTTTGCAGGCCTAGGGGTGTAGCTCAGTGGTAGAGCACATGCACAGCATGTATTAAGCCCTGGGCTTAATTACTATCAAACAATAAAATAACATAAAGGGTTTTCTGGATTTGGTGTACAGTGGTAATTTCTAAGATATAGGATGATGTGTGAATGCTACTGATAAAAAAGCTGAGAGATAAGAGCATGTATGAATGTTAGAAGAAAATCTCTTACTTAAAAACTTCTGGAACTTTCACTACCCATCAGTTACTCATTTTACTCACCTGTTTTTGCTCTTCTCCAAGACTGTCCCACATGGAAGCCACAATTTTTGAAACTTCTCCAAAAGTAGCGTTAGGATTCTGTCCCTTGATGGCAGCCTGTGTATCACGGAAAAATAAAGCATATGCTGAAACTGGTTTCTGAGGTTCATTAGGATCTTTCTTTTTCCTCTTCTTTGGGGCCTTCTGCTTTTTTCCTGTTTCCACCACAACTGTCTTCTGGCTGGGAACTTGCTGTAGGGCAGAAAAGAGAGAATCGCAATGTGAAAGAAGGAAGTATTGTGTCTGAAATCTAAGACAAGGATTTGTATATGGGGGGAACTAGTCACATGTATGGAATTTATACTAAAAACAGAAGTAACAGGTTTAAAAATAAAGTAGGAGGACTAATATAAACGGGGTTGGGAGGAGCGTCATAAACTGGAAAGGGATTTCACACCCTCAAAAAGAGCAGAGGAGATGGCAGGGCAGGAGCACAGAACACTGATTAGAGTCTGTATGCCAAGAATTCTATGCCAGAGTATCATGGCGGAATTGACTGTGGCTGGGAATGCCTCACCCTCCGGAAATCCTCAACACCATCCTCATGAAGTGAGTTAGTAGGTGACGGGGTGGTTGAAAGGCGATCCTCAGGTGAATGGGCAGGTGGCAAGATGGTGCCACCCCCTAAGCTCAAACCAAGTTGAGAACTCAGTTCTGATTGATCAATGGTGGTCAACTGGCTATGCCCCATCAAGCCAGATGTCATGTCTGTCATTGGTACATCGATTGTGACAGGTGGGTTGGCACTGTACTGAGTTCCTATAGAATGGTCCAAGTCCTGAGGGAAATAGGAAAATGAATTACACAGTAAATATTTCAAAACCACTAGCCCCACCTCCACCCCAAATTCAAGACAGCTTATAAATCCCTTGCTTACCCAACTGTATCATTATTTGACTCTACATAGAAACTATATTAAGCCCTCTTTTTGGTACTGGGGATCAAACTTACTAATCATTTATTTATTTATTTATTGGGGTTTTTTTTGAGACAGGGTCTCACTATGTAGAGACTGAACTGGAACTGACAATGTAGCTCGGGCTGGTCTCGAACTCACAGCAACCCTTCTGTCTCAGCCTCCCGAGTGCTGGGATTAAAGGCATGCGCTACCACGCCCAGCTAGCATTTTTTGAAAGTACAGAAATTAGTAAATTCACTCCTTTGCATTGAAAGGCCTATTTCTAAAATAACTAAAAAGCTGGGTGTGGTGGTACACATCTGTAATCCCAGTGTCTGAGAGGCAGAAGCAGGAGGATTGCCCCAAGTTTGAGGCCTGCCAGACCTATATAGTGTTCAAGGCCAGCCTGGACTACATAGTGAGACCCTGTCTCAAAAACTCAAAATAAATAAAATAACTAAAAATAATCAGAGAGCTGGGCATGGTGGCATACGCCTGTAATCCCAGTACTTGGGAGGCTGAGGGAGGAGGATCTCTGAGTTTGAGGCCAGCCTGGGCTACATAATGAGTTCAAGACCAGTCTGAACTACATGATGAGACCCTGTGTCAGAAAATAAAAATAAAAAACCAGAGAAATCTTAATCTTGGACAACTTAACTTAAAAAGCAAATAATTTATTCAGCAATCTGTGGGTAATGACAACACACAGTAAAGAAAAACCTTCCCATCGTCTCTCTGCACCTCCTAAAATGTGAGTTTTAATAGTTGCAACACGTAGGCAATTAAGAGTCGATAAGACCAGTATTAGAGATGCCTGACTCAAACACATGGTGTGAAGATACGCTACTGTTAATATGGATGGAAATCCAACACAGTGGTTTATAACGTATTATTAATCCACACTACTACATTTGGTTCAGACTATTTTTGAGTAAATCCCTTCATATGTCAACAATCATACATTTCAATTGTAGGATGTGAAGGCCGTAATAAAAGAGGGAAAAGAAAACCACCTTTTTCCCAAAAAAATCAGAATAAATCATTTTCATTTCAAACATTTTAAAATTTTAAAATAATTTTTGAAGTGAAATTGCCCCAGAGAGTAAATGTCATTTATTCAGGTAAAATTAAAGTCTGTGTTGACAGACTTTGGTTGAAAAAAAATAAGAAACAAGTAAAATCCAAGCGCAGTGGAAAATAAGTTTGGCCTGCAGGAGGCTGGCACTGTCTTGCCCCTTACCATGGTCAAGCCCCCACTCAGGAGCCCTCCGCCCTGCTCCATCAAGCCATGGGTCATGCCCACAGGCATGTCCAATGTCTGCACCCCATACTGGGCTGAAAAGCTGCCATCCTGTGAGGAGGATGGGTCTGCCAGGTCATCAAAGTGGCCAACCACATCTGAGACAGCAAGCGAAGGATCAGAATCCAAGGAGATAGGTGGGATTTCAAATTCCTCATCCCCTAAGCTTGGCGTATGGAATGTCTGTAGGGAAAAAAGGCAAAAACAATTAGCAGGAGGAGAAGGAACTTCATTCTGCTAAGTGAAGAACACAGCAAGATACTGAAGAGACTCAACTTTTTGGCTTGCAATTTTGTTAGAGATTTCTTAGGACCTGCTTAATTTTATAAATAAACCTCTCTTCTTATACCTTTGGTCATATAACATATGAGGCTGCCAACATCAACTACAATTTTTAATTCCTTTATCTCTTTTCAACTTTTCTTTAACTTTTACCATTTTGGTTGTCCTAAATTATTACTGCTATAAGGATTAGAAGAACTATTAGAAACTCGCTTTTATAACCTGCTTAGCTATGATGCTTGAAATCTGTAAAAATTCTGATAGCAGTTATCTTACAATTATTACACTTTCCTGCTTGCCCACAGAAACTCATTGTTTGTTTTGAGGCAAGGTCTCGTTATATAGTCTAGGCTGGCCTTGAACTCAAGGTGATCCTCCTGCCTCAGCCTTCCAAGTGCTGGGATTACAGGGGTTGCCACTATGCCCAGCAGAAACATCCTGTTGACTAGCCAATTATACTTTGTTGCTTTAGGATCTGTTCACTTGAAACAAATCCTAAAAGATACTGTCATGGAAAACTTATCCCCCTCAAAAATACTTGCACTTAAATTGTTTCCTACCTCTTCTGCACTTTAGAAATTTAACATTAACAACAAATAAGATTCCTACTGTATAGGGTTTTGAGGAAACCCCAATAATGCCAAGTAAGACAACAGTAAGGGGAAAAAACCATTCTACAGTCAAAAGGCAGACTGGTTTACTAATAGTATTTTTTTTTTTTTTTTTTTTTTTTTTTTGAGACAGGGTCTTACTATGTAGTTGAGACTGACCTGGAACTCACTATGTAGCCCAAACAGGTCTCAAACTCGCAGCAATCCTGCCTTAGCCTCCGGAGTGTTGTGATTACAGGTGTGCGCCACCACACCCAGCTGGTTTACTAATAATTCTAAAACACATTCCTAGGACTGGGGATTTAGCTCAGTGGGGTTCCGCGACCTGCTTTGCAAGTGCAAGGACCTGAGTTCAATCCCTGGTACCAAAAAAAATTCCTATTCTTGCTCTGACCAAATCTTTCTGTAAGAGAGGAAGAAAAAAGTACTACAGTTGGCTAAAGATTCAGTCCCTTCCTCTGAATCCAGTTAAACCAATAATATTTACTCTTTCCTTTCTGAATGAGGCCACCACTCATGGAGCTAATAGCAAAGTGTGACCTAAGATATGTTACCTGCCATGCTTCCTTTTTGACACCAAAAAACTAAAATGGAGGCATTTTAGTGATGGACCGTTAGGTCTTACCAAGACAGTTTGGTGTTAAAAGATCTGGGTGCAAGTCTCAGCTCTGTCATTTATTTACTTTATGACCTTCAACAGGTTTTTTCATCTATAAATTTGGGATTACAATGGTAATCCCCTCCAATAGTTATGAGAATAAAATGGATTTAGTTTATACACACAATTCCTTAGTAGTCATTGTTCTTAATATGATATCCTAATAATTATTAATTGGCCCCCACTCCAGTTATCATATTTAAGAAACGTTACATTCTATCAACTTAACCATAGCATAAGCCAACAGGCCTGGTGGCACATGCCTATAATCCCAGTATTCAGGATGCTGAGGCAGGAGGGCTATTATGAGTTCGAGGGCAGCCTGGGGGATACATAGTGAGTTTAAGCCCAGCCTGAACAACATACTGAGACTTTACCTCAAAAAAAAAAAAAAAAAAAAAGAAAAAAAAAAAAAAAATGCATAGCACAGTAAATATTAATTAATTCAACTTCAATAGGAAGCCACATTTTTTTAATGATTACGTTATAGGTTAAGAATTCCTTAAGGTTTCTCTAGATTCAGAAGAGGTCTCACTATTATTGCTGCTTTTGTTTTAATAATTATATTGCTGAGAATATTTCTGGCTAGTAGAAAAACAGGGAGAAAAAAATGCTTGTAGCCAGGTGTAGTGGTGCACATTTGTAATCCTGCCAAGTCTATGAGGGCTCTGAGGCAGGAGGATCACAAATTCAAGATTATCCTGGGAAACTTAGTGATTTGGCACGACCCTGTCTCAAAATAAAAAATAAAGACAGTTGTGGTGGCACATACCTATAATCCCAGCGCTTGGGAGGCTGAGGCAGGAGGATTGCTCTAAATTCAAGGCCAGCCTGGGCAACACAGTGAACAGTGAGCTCATAGCAAGTCTGAACTACACAGCAACTCTATTTAAAACAAACAACCCAAACCAATAAGTATATAATAAATGAATGAATGAATGAAAATGGTTGAGGTGTAGCTCAGGGTGAAAGCTCTGAAGTCAGTCCCTAGTATGGAACAAACAAAAGTATGTCTGTGAAATCCTTAAATCTTTCTAATCATATTGGCACAAAAAGTTTTGTACAAGACTAAAAGGTATGTCTTACAGGCTTTGTTTCTACATCTTCCTCCTCCTCACTATTTTAGTCTGGTAAACATTTTGGTAGTTGCCTGGGATACACTGTGTGCAGCATTTACAGCACAGAGACAGAATACCTTTCCCCAAGAACTGAGTTTTCCTTGATAATAAAAGTCATAATTTTTGTTGCTGTGTAGGAGTTCTTAAAGAGTCTTTTTGAAATTTCAGTTTAGGTTCAGGTGCCCATCTTCCAGAAACAAAGTACAAAGACTCTTTACCAGATTCTCAGGCAAACAAACAAACAAAATTTTAGGGACAGGAAAAACAATCTAAGGAAACATTTGCTATATAAATAATTGTAAAAGTTTTAAGTTTTGTAAGACACAGACTGCTACAGCAAAGCAAAAGATGTCTATCCTTTTCAGCTTACCACAACAAAACAGCAATTCTGCCAAGACATGAAAAATGATACTACTTGATGATGAAAACTCAAAAGGAATAAAAATTCATATCCAAAACAAAGGTCCAGTGTTCTACTCCTCATAAACCATCTGGAGTGCTCTCATAGATCAGATATGCAGAGATTCCACTGTAGCAGATCAACAGGGCATTCTTTCTAAGTACTAACAGTTGGTATATGGAAACAGCTTTGTTATACTGTATACCCACGGTTTTCACGGTGGGCTTCTTCTTTAGTTTTATTTCTTCCTGTTAAGTATGAGTAGTAAGATAATTACAATCATCAAAAATATATACAGGTACACTACATACTATAATAAACATAAAGGTCATTCAAATCTCTTACTACAAGTGATCTGTAAAATTATGAGTAAAATCCAATAATGAATACTCATTTTAGTGGACCCATCATTGAACTAAATTACACTATACTGTTGAGGATTTTTTTCAAAAAGTTAAAATGGGCTGGGCGTGGTGGCGCACGCCTGTAATCCCAGCACTCAGGAGGCTGAGGCAGGAGGATCACTGTGAGTTCGAGACCAACCTGGGCTACACAGCAAGTTCAGATCAATCTCAACTACATAGTGAGACCCTGTCTCAAAAAAACAAAACAAAACAAAAAAAGTTAAAATGGAAGCAATATTAAAATAAAAATAAGTGGTTTGGATACAGAAGGAGAAAACAAGAACGGAAGAACAGAATGCGCTACCTTCTTAGCTTTCCTTACCTTTATTTAATTCTATGGCCTTTCTGAGGGAGGGACTAGTTTTGGATTTAAATTTATAAGGAAGGATGCTTAGATGGTGAGAAACAAAAAACTCAAATATGCCACACACACACCCCCATACCAAAACACACAAGCCATTTTGTCTTTTCTTTCCTTTTTCTTTTTTAAAGCACTAGGGGTTGAACCCACATCCTCCCACATACTAAGCATGAGCTCTACCATTGAGCTATACATGTAGCCATCCATTATTTCTTTGTATACTTTTAGAGTTATTTTAACACCTATTTTTTCAACAACACCATGGTCAAGGTCAGCCTTAAATTCAAGATCCTCCTGCTTCAGCCTCCCAAGTGCTGGGATTACAGGTGTGCACCACCACACTTAGCTTCTAATGATGACTTTTTGTGCAAAGAAGTTCCTAATTTCAATGAAGTACATTTTTCAAATAGTACAATTTACGGATAAGAAAATGAAAAATTGTTCTGAAGTAGCTGTTTGTTTTGCAGTGCTGGGAATGAACTTGGAACCTCAAACATTCTAGATGCAAGCAGTCCATCTCTGAGCCACATCGCCAGTCTTCTTTTAATATTTTGCAGTACTGGAGACTGAACCCAAGGCCTGTACACTGAGCTACAGTCCCAGTCTTTATTTTTTCACACAGGCTCTCACTAAAGCATTATAAACCGCTCAGGTGGGCTTGAATTTGTAATCCTTCTTTCTTAGCCTTCCAGAATGCTGGGATTTCAGGCATGTGTAATATGCACAGACCTCCTTACCCCAATTAAAAAAATAACAATATCTTTATCTACTTTTAAGTTATTTGAGATGGGTCATGGTTAAGACCAGATGCAACATAAACCATAAACCCATTAAAATACAGGTTAAAAAACAACCACCATCACTATCAAGAGGGGAGGGGAAGAGAATGTACAGAAGTTGTAGTTAACAATGAGAGAAACCCTGCTAAAGGAAGTGACAAATTGAACCTAAAACTTAGTTCTGAATTTCTGCCTCTAGCCTCATTAAAATTTCTTATATTTTTGCAGTAACAGGCATTGAACCTAGGGCCTCTGCGGTGAATTCTCCTACACACTCTTTTTGGTACCGGGGATCAAACTCAGGATCTTGTGCTAGTGATCGCTGACACCCCCCCAACCTGCCTATTTCTAATTTATTTTGAGGAAGAGTTTTGGTAGGTTGCCAAATTGTCCAGGATGAGCTCAAATTTGCAATTGTCTCTGCCTCAGAGTGCTGACATTACGGGGCCACCACATCAGTTAAATAAAATTTCCTAAGCTATCAAAACAAAAACAGAACAGCCTCAAACCTATAAAGCATCTTTTTTTTTTTTCTTTTGTTTTTGTGGTGTTGAGCATGATCCTAAGATCGTCACATGTGCTAGGGAAATGCTCTATCACTGAGCTATACTCCCAAGCTAAATTTTTGGATGTTAAACAGGCTCCATATCACCAGGGTGGTAGTGTGTGCCTGTAATCCCAGCCTTCCGGAGGCTGAGGGGAGGAGGATCACTGCAAGTTTGAAGCCAGCCTTGGCTACATGGTAAATTCAAGGTCAGCATAAATTAACCAAAAAACAAACAAGAGGTTCCATCTCATGTTGTTTCCTTTTCATTGTTCAACTTCATACAAATATTAAACAGGGAAAATCTGAAAGCTACTTGTTTGTGAGAGATTGAACCCAGGGGTACTCTTCCACTTTGAGACAGGGTCTTGCCTCCTTGAGTGCTGGGATTACAAGCATGCACCATTGGCCTAGTTTTGTATTTAATTTAAAAATTTACTTGGGGCCAGGGATCTAGCTCAGCGGTTCAGTGGCCCGCCTTGCAAGCGCAAGGACCCGAGTTCAATCCCCGGTACAAAAAAAAAAAACAAAACATTTACTTTAGTAGGAATAAAACTAATTTACAAGCCTCTAAATAATGGAACTTACACTGTGGAGACCCAATTGAAAGAAAGGAGCAGTAAGGCACTTTCATGTGGATGAGGGCAATATGAGATTCACACTTCAAAGGGTAAAATTAAACCATGGAGACCTCACTAAGAACAAACAGGTGATGAGCCTACAAAGAACCAAATGGATTTTAGTTTTATATCATTTCTAAATTTTCTGTTCATTTGCTTTACACCTGGCTTAGCAGAAAAATAAAAATAGCAATAAAATTTTAAAACTAGCAACTGTCCATTGTCAATCTAATTCTTTTTTTTTTTTTTTTGCCAGGGATCGAACTCGGGGGCTTGTGCTTGCAAGGCAGGCCACCGAACCGCTGAGCTAAATCCCCGGCCCTGTCAATCTAATTCTAATGCACGGAAGTGTCAGGATTTACTACTGAAAAAACCCATTCAGTACCAACTGAAAATTCTTAATATAAAAAAAAGATACAGATCTTTGGGAGAAAAGATATCCTCAAAAGATAGTAAAATGTTTGAGTTTACAGATTCTCAAATATAGGAAAATTTCTGTCTCATTTACCTTTCACTTTTACTTTGCCCACACAAGTAATACATATCTACAGTATATTATCTCAAGCAAAAATTTTTCAGGAATATATTTGGGCTTCACCATGACCATTACTTCTTTACATCATAAAAAACTATTACTGCCAGGCATGGTGGCGCACGCTTGCAATCGCAGCACTCAGGAGGCTGAGGCAGGAGGTTCGCTCTGAGTTCGAGACCAGCCTGGGCTACAGAGTGAGTTCCAGGTCAGTCTGAACGACATAGTGAGACCCTGTCTCGAAAAACAAAAAACAAACAAACAAACAAAAAACCCCACCACCAACAACAAGACTTATTACAGCCACTTGACAGCTAGGGAAATTACGACAACAAAGGTAATCTGCCTAAAGTTGAGTCACAGGCAACAAATGTATATTTTACTCGAGTCCCTTCCTGTTCTCTGAGTTTTCTTTCCCACTGTCATTAGCAAAACAATATACCGTGTATGTAAAAGTAACTACTTTTACCAGAGTAGATGATAATAATATAAAAAAGACCCCTACAACAGAGTTTAAGAATTAACCGTGTCCAAAGATAACCTTGCTCGGTAAGCTCCTCCCCTAACCCCAATTCGTTTAGCTGCTGAAAATTCTTCCTGCTAAAATTCTTCCCCCCCGCAAAACTGTTGTAGCTATTTCTCTCTCAACCGAGGCAATTTCAGCCTTCCAATCGCGAACCACTCTCCTCCTCAGACAGACTCTCTCGGTCTGCTGATGACAGCAGGATCTCGAGCCTTCTCAGTCAGTCTTAGGCTCCAGAAGCAGCCGCCACTCTTCCCCAAACACCAACCGCGGTCCCGGTGCCCAGCCCCAGTCCCGGGCCTCCGCGCTCTGCTCCCCACCACGGCTGCCTCGCCCCCATCCCCCCACCGAGCTTCGGCGGCTCCGGCTCACCTCGGCCCCTGACAGGAAGGGGTGAGAAGGCCCCGTGATCGTCAGGTAATTGTCGTTTCCTCCGGGAAACTGGAAACCAAAAGAAAGCCGCAGGGTAAGTTAGGGGGAGCAGGGAGTTAGGTCGGAGCGATGGATCCTGACCCCGACATTCTGATAATAATCCCCAAATCCCGCTCTCTCGCCCCTCTGATCAGCCGCCGCTTCTCCCCCCCAGCTTCCTGCCTCCGCTTCAACCCAGTGGGCCGCGCTCCCTCGCCAGCCTCCTTAGCGCCCAGGTTCTCACCTCCATCTTCAGACAGCCGCTAGCACCGCCTCGGTCTTCTCATCGCTCCTACTGCCCCCACTGGACTCGGAATGCGTCACTTCCGCAAGGACGCTCGTCGTTCTCCGCTGATTGGAAGGAAACTGCAACGAGTCAACCAGACTGGCGAGAGCGGGCGGGAAAGCTCCCTATCGCCCCCTGGAGCTTGGTGGGATAATGGCATGTAGAAGTGCCTGAGGTGTCCCTAGAGGCGGTGTCCGGTAATCCTGATTGAGAGATTTCTGGGACGTGCAATAGAGACGTGGTATGGGCTAGAGGGGCCGGAGGAGGGCGGGGTGGATAAAATCGGTAGATCGAGTGGCTAGAGAGGTCGGAGGTAAGTGGCTGTTGAAGTCGGGCGGACCCGGAATACAGAGGACTCGGGACCATGACTTATGCGTATCTCTTCAAGTACATCATCATCGGAGACACAGGTAACCCGCAGGTGGACCGCCTTCAAGGCTTGGGCGGGGACCCGAAGCTCCCAAATCGGGTCGCGTGGGCGGGGCCCACGTAGTGGGCTGGGCGTTTGCCGGGGTAAGTGGCTGTTGAAGTCGGGCGGACCCGGAATACAGAGGACTCGGGACCATGACTTATGCGTATCTCTTCAAGTACATCATCATCGGAGACACAGGTAACCCGCAGGTGGACCGCCTTCAAGGCTTGGGCGGGGACCCGAAGCTCCCAAATCGGGTCGCGTGGGCGGGGCCCACGTAGTGGGCTGGGCGTTTGCCGGGGAGCGGGCGGGGGCGGGGCTCCGGCTCCCCTCCAGTCCCGGGCGCTCGGAGTCTGGGGGCCGGGCATTCTCGGGGCGCTCACCTCCCGCGACGCGAATCCTCCTCCAGGTGTGGGGAAGTCATGTCTCCTGCTGCAGTTTACAGACAAGCGGTTCCAGCCGGTCCACGACCTCACAATAGGTAAGTGTGTCTATTTGTTCCAGAGAAAGTAAAACCAAACTGCTGACGTGCAAAGTTAGCAGCCTTAAATGTTTGAAGTAAAAAGTCATCCTTCACTACTTTGAATTAGTGCAAGGTTGTGGTATGTGAAGAGTGACTAATCAAACGTTAGTAATGAGGAATAAATGGCTGAGAGGTAATTTTAGAGATGAACATGAGGTAAGGACTAGTTGCCTTGCAATTTTGTTTCCTCCAAATGCAGTTTGTATGTTTATGGAAAGTCCCACGGTAGCGTGACTATTATCTACCGCAAACGTGTATTAATAAAAATCTTTAAAAATAAAAAGAAACCATAATTGCTTATTTAAAAAAACCCATCTGTGGTTTCCCGTAATTCGTAGCAATCTCACCTGTTTTCAAAGTATGTGTCAGTATATGGACTTTTTTTGTATTAGAGACGTAGCAGCAAGTTAATGGGCCGTCCCAGCCTCAAATAAAAAGGCGAATGAACTAGTAACTTTTCCTTTCCTTTAAAAAAACCAAAAAAGCATGATACAATAATTAGTGGAATTAGAAAAAGGTTTAGAAGATAGCAGTGATCATAAATTATTTTTTAAATGAGTATTAAGAAATACCCCCACACACACTGCCAGGCATGGTGGCTCAAGCCTGTAATCCAAGCATTTAGGAGGCTGAGGCAGGAGGATCGCTGCGAGTTTGAGACCAGTCTGGGCTACATAGTGAGTTCCTGGGAAGTCTGATCTACACAGAGAGACCCTATCTAAAAAAAAAGAAAGAAATACACTATGATAGGAATTAATGATACAGTGATTAACAGGGCAACATTGTACCTGGTGTTAGATAGTTTGTAGTCTTCCAGTGAAGAATGTAGGGCTGGGGATAGACACTAACAAGTAAATTTCTTTTGTGAGAGGAGAGGCCACTTAAGAAAGTCTGACAATTAAAAAAAAGCAGCAGTTAGGCTAAGAGTTGTAGTGATGAGGGGAAATGATATGGAAAAGAGAATAAAAAAGTAGTGCGCAGAGGCTCAGGATGACAGAGACCAGGCTGCTTTGGAAAACAAAGTAATAATATGGCTGTGGCGTGAAGTTTGAAGCAAGGAATAGTAAGAAATAAAACTAGAGGGAAAAAGTACCAAATTTTTAAATACCTGAGGGAAATCAGAGCAAATAACAAATTCTATAGTGAAGACATGAAATGATTGATCAAATTCACCTCAGAACCCAGGAAAATCTGTGTTTCTTCCTGAGTTCAGTTCTTTCTACCATGAAAAACAAGGCAAACAAATAAAAAATATGTACAAAAATGTGAGGGTCTCTGAATGTATAACCAGAGGAAATTTCATGACACACAAATTTTATTTCTTATCAATTGAAATTTCATTCCTATTGTCTAGGGAAAAAAGACTTTTTCCAGTAGCTACTGTTTGATTCTTGATGAAACAGCTAGAGTAGTAACCATAAGCTTTTACATCTTTTTTCTTGACTACAGAACCTTAAAAGATAGGCTGTTGATATACTGTGAATGTGTGTACAGGGTCACCAAATAGGTAGGTGCATAGCAGTCCTTAGAGTGATCTTCAACATATGAATTCTTCATGCTATGTGCAAAGTACTGGATGAAAACAGGAAATAGGATAAATTCTCTGATTTATCCAGCGTTTTTAATGTTAGTGACTGTTTTTTAAGTTTTGGCCTGACGTTACTTTGGTAGAAGATTGCCAGTTTCCATACATTATGGGAGAGGCTATCTTCCAGTAAGCTCTGGGAATTATTGGTGATCTGGAGTGTATGGCTTTGAGCACCTATTTCTTTTTTCTTTTTTTCTTTTTTGTTTTGGGGGGGATGTGGGGGTTGAGACAGGGTTTTGCTGTGCATTTCAGCCTGGCCTGGAACTCACTACATAACCCAGGCTGTCTCAACCTCCCAAGTGCTAGGATTACAGATGTGGGCCACCATGCTAGGCTTTTTTCTTTTTCATATAATGGTGCTAGGGATTGAACCCAGTGCCTTACTCAAGATAGACAAGCAGTGTACGACTGAACTACAACCCCAAGATCATAAGTTTTTAATTCTAGAAGATAAATGAAGAAACATAAAGGAACACAATCAATTGCAGGAAATAAGCAGCAGTAATGGGCTCAGTGGGACTCTGCTGGTATTAAAACACACTGAGGGGCCAGGGATTTAGCTCAGAGGTTCCGCTGCCTGCCTTGTAAGCACAAGGTCCCGAGTTCGATCCCTGGTACCCCACCCCCCAGAAAAACCCAAAAAAACCAAAACACATTGAGGAAAAGCATAAACTTTCCACTTCACCATCTTATTCACAAGAATCACATTCTGTCTCTTGGCCTTCACTGACAGGTGTGGAGTTTGGAGCCCGTATGGTCAACATCGATGGAAAACAGATTAAATTACAAATCTGGGATACGGTAAGAGATAACAAAATGATTTACTTCCTGACGAAGCTCTAAATATGACAAAGCTGGTGCTAGGGAAAAGGGTTTTGGGGGTGGGACTGCTGACGGAGGTGAAATAGAGGCAGAATGAAATCAGTGAGATGAGGAAGCTTTGATTCCATCTGTTACCGTTGTAAATTCTGAACTCCCTATTTTTAAGTAACCTGAGTAATATACTACTTTATAGTTAAAAAAAAGTTTGTACGTAAAAAGTGAATGTCCCTTTATACACATAAACTCTTTTCCCTCTCAACATAGTTAGTTGCTATTCTATCAAGGAAATCCACTTTTAATGATTCGATGTATATGCCTTAAACTGATTGTATATATTTAAATATATAAATATAAACATTAAAAAATGTATCATAGTGGGTTTTTTTTTTTCTTTTTCTAGTACTAGAGATTGAACCCAGGACCTTTGCACTGAGCTACAATCCCCAGCCCTGTTTTTATTATTTACTTTGAGATAGGATCTCTCTTAAGTCAGTAGATTGCCCAGGCTGGGCTTAAATTTCCCATCCTCCTGCCTCAGCCTCCCAGAGTGTTAGCATTGCAGGCATGCACCACCATTTTTTTGCATGGTTTTGTTTTTATTACTATTTATACCTATAGCATTGTGACAGAGTAGACCTAGCTGTCATTTTTTCATTTAGCAATCTATACTTTGGAGACTTTTCTGCATTCGTGCAAATAAATCAACCCCATTCCTTTTCACCACTACATAGTCATGGAATAGAGCATATATTTGTTTGTTTGTTTTTGGCACTGGAATCGAACTCAGGACCTCCCACTTGCCGGTCAGGCACAGGATCGCTAAGCTACATCCCTGGCTGGACATATATTTATTTAGCCATCCTCCCCACTGTGATAAAGCTTCATTGAACATTATTTACTGTGTCTTTATACAGATGTTAGAGAATTTTTGTGTAATACCTGCCCAGAAATGGAAATTCTAGGTCAAACGTTGTACATATTTTAAATTTTGGTAAATATAGTACTGCCAAAGTTTAGTTTGGCTTATAATTTTGTTTCATCTAGGTAAATTGCTTTCCTGTGCATTATCTCATTTGACTTTTACCTTTTTTTCTCTCTGAGGCAAACATCTTAGTTTCTATTTTAGTTAAAAGGAGCTGGGCCAGGGATTTAGTCCAGTGGTTCCACCTCCTGCCTCACAGGCCCAAGGACCTGAGTTCCATCCCTGGTACCAAAAAAAAAAAAAAGCCGGGCATGGTGGCACACGCCTGTGATCCCAGCACTTGGGAGGCTGAGGCAGGAGGATCTCTGTGAGTTCGAGACCAGCCTGGGCTACATAGTGAGTTCCAATTCAGTCTCAACTACATAGTGAGACCCTGTCACAAAAAACCAAAAAAAAAAAAAAGGAGCTATCAAATACACTTCATCTTTTGCTAAAATCTCTTTTTTTTTGCTTAGTTCCTATTATTTTTCTTCTCAGAACTAAGACCTGAAGCCATTATATTTACAATGAGTGCACAAGTTATTTTTTCTCTTCTTACCCCTCATTCACCATCCTGTTCCCTGTCCCCCACTACTCCCAGTACACACAAAGGCATGTATAGCTCTTTTCTGGTCTTTGCTCTTTTTGTTGTTTTTGTTTTTGTTTTTTGAGACAGGGTCTCACTATGTAGTTGAGACTGACCTGGAACTCACTATGTAGCTCAGGCTGGTCTCAAAGTCACAGCGATCCTCCTGCCTCAGCCTCCTGAGTGCTGGGATTACAGTCATGTGCCACCACGCTTGGCCACTCTTTTTCGGTCTTTGGATGAGATGATTAATCAGCTGCTTTTAAGTAGGATGATACTTGCTTATGTATTTGTTGATTGTGTTTCCAAGCATTTTAATAACCTTTTGCCCTTCTGTTCAGATTTTTCTTCTCAGCCTATTGGATTGTCCTAATAATAGGAACATGAATCGCTTCACATAGCTGAGTATAATTAACTCTAGCCAGATACTTCTTTAACTTCCAAAGTTACTTCATTTTCCAGTTTTTGGTTTTTTTAGCGATTCCCCCCCATAAAGCCTAAGAGATATTACCCTAGGTCTGTTGCCAAGGTTAACTCCATTTTTAAACAGCTGTCACACACTCCCTCTCTTTCATTGACGAGGCTTCGTAGTCTTTGTCACTGGTAGTTCCCATTAGGTATTGCAACTTACCTTTTATTATCCCCTGACTTTTGAATATTTCCTCTGAATGAAGATCTGGCCCACTATTGAGGTCACGACATGAATTCTGAGGAGGTGGCAGAAGGTGAGGCTGTGCTGTCAAGATTGATATAAGCTAGACTCTACCTTTAATTTAAACATAGAATTTCTAAAATTTTATGTTTTGATGCCAGGAGAAAAACCCAACAGGTGCCAGTTAGTGATAAAGTCACGGCCATGTGGCCATGTGTAGTCATGGCTTGCTGGCTTTTTCTTTTTTCTTTGTTCTTAAATTCTCATATGAAACATGGTTAGAACAGGAAGTAAGAAGATTGAGACAAGAGCCTGGAGAACTACGTGTCCATCCAAATAGCCTAATTCATTTCTGTCCCTATTTAAAATTGTTTTGAGATTATAGTAATCCTTACTGAATAATAAGAAACAGGCTTCATAATACTGTGGTTTTCTGCTTATTCTGAAAATTTTAAGTGATTCCAATCTATTATGTAGTGTGTCTCATCTACCACTTCCTGAGTAAGCCTGATCATTTCTCCTCTGTCAGCACTGACACTCTACCCATCACTTACCACGTTGGCTTCCATTTTGCTGTCCCATTCCCTCATGTATCACAGGGCCACCTTTCATGAAAACGCTTGAGTTACCATGATGGCTATTGTATTTCACTTTATTGGTGCTAGAGGTTGAACCTAGGGCCTCATGTCCTGGCGCTGTACTACCAAGCTGCAACCCCAGTACCATGATGGATATTTTAAAGAAATCAGGTTATTCAAAGTTATCTGCACTCTTTTGGTTTTTTTGGTTTTTTGATACAGGGTCTCACTATGTAGTTGAGAGTGACCTGGAACGCACTATGTAGCCTAGGCTGGTCTCGAACTCAGACTTACAGTGATCCTCCTGCCTCAGCCTCCAGAGTGCTGGGATTACAGGCTTGCGCCACCGCACCTGGCTGATTTGCACTCTTTTGTATTGATAAGGATTTAGAGAACTTTGTTACTCATTCTGTATTACTTTTTGTCTTGTGTGTGTATTCATTCTCAGATAACCATGCTAATGAAGACCATTGTATTGTAGCTAATATAGAATATTGATTAATCCCAAATTAACTGGTATTTTACTTTTAAATGAATTTTGATTTTAAGAGCAAGTGTATCTGACTTTTTAGGAGTTGATGCTGCAAACTGTGTATTTCAAAAGTATGATAGGATGCTAGCCCTTGAGACAAATTAGAAAGCTATGCATCCTCTTTATCAAAGTCCCATTTTAGTTATTTAATTCTCCTTTAGAATTTTTACTGGGGATGAACAAGGCTACCTTAGACTGATGGAGACCAGTCTAAGTTGAACTACTTGCTCATTTTAGCTCCTTGGCTCACAGACTGGTTCATAAAGTTGACTGAGGTAGTGAAGTAAATTAATTTGATTTTAAAAGGTTTTCTAGAAACTCATTGACATTGTCCACTATAAAAAAAATTTTTTTTTTGAGTCAGGGTCTCACTATGTAGTTGAGACTGACCTGAAATTCAGTATGTGGCCCAGGTTGGAATCAAACTCACAGCGATCCTCCTACCTCAGCTTCCGGAATGCTAGAATTACAGGTATGCGCCACCACTCCTAGCTTTTTGGCACAGGGATGAACCTTGTGCTTGCAAAGCAGGCCTGGCTACTCCCGCTTTTTTGTTTGGTCAACTACAAAGTTCCCTCAAACTTTGCCTTTTAGTCCTTTGTAGGCCATAGAAGAAGTTAAGAAGCATTTTCAGTGATAGCAGAAGAGGAGAAAAAGAGCAAAACAGCCCCAAATAATGTATGACATAGAATAGTTAGGGAATGAATATAAGAGTTTTACGTGATCCAGGTGTGGTAGCGCATGCCTAATCCCAGCACTCAAGAGGCTGAGGCAGGAGGATCACCTCACATTTGAAGCCAGTTTATACTACATAGAGACCCTGTCTTTAAAAAATATATTTTTGGGGCCAACTATTTAGCTCAGTGGTTCCAGCATCTGCCTCACAAATGCAAGGACCCAAGTTCGATCCTTGGTATCAAAAAAAAAAAAAAAAAAAAA